ACAAGAAGACCTTGGGGGGCCTCAGCACAGGACGTCGTGGACGGCGAAGATATGCGTGCGGAGGTTATGGCGCATGTTGGCGCGGTGCGGGCAGTGCGGGCACGCGTAGGGCTTCTCCCCCGTGTGCGTGCGCATGTGCCGCATGAGCCCCTGCTTGCGCGAGCGACCGCTAAAGGCCTTGCCGCAGACCGAGCAACTGAGCGTCTTGGGTTGGCCGGACGCGCCGCCAGCCAGCAACCCTCCCACCTGCAACAGCAAGACTCAACTCAGCAACTCTACTCTGCAACCTCCTCCCCCTCCCCTCCCCCGGGCCCCAAGTGCTGGCGCCTCCTCCCCTCCCCTCCCCGGGCCCCGAGTGCTGGCGCGGGGCCCCGACGTGAAAAGGGGGGGACTGGGGGCCCCCTCCCCGAAAATCTCTCCTGGGACCCTCTTCAAAGTGGATTTTAGGACCCTCTTTGCACCCCAAAAAGACTCTAATCCTCTTTCTCAAAGGAATGAATAACAAGAGATAAATAAGAATAAAAAATAATTCAATAAATAAAAATAAATAAAAGAAAAAAAGTCCTGTGAGAGAAATAAAAATAAACCAAACAAATACACAATAAAAAAGTAAACAAACAAATAAATAAACAAATAAATAAATAAATTAACTCCCCCCCCAAAACAAAAAAAAATCTCCAACCAGGCCACACAGAGTTGGCGTTACCCTCGGCCCCAGTAGGTGTGGGTTCGAAGTCTCGATCACGTGGCCTCCGACGGTTGCGAGGTCCGCGGGCGTGAGGCGACACGGGCGGGAACTATGTGAGGGCATAGGGACGTTTGTGATGAGTGGTGAGTAGTGAGTAATGAGTGATGAGTGTTGAGTTATGAGTGATGGAGTAGTGAGTAATGAGTGGTGAGTTATGAGTGATGAGAGGTGTTTTGAGTGGTAAGTGGTGAGTGATGAGAAGTGAATATGATATATATATAAATATATAGATAGGTGAGTGGTGAGAGGCGAGTGATGATTAATGAGTGATGAACAACTACTGAATAACGACTGCTATTACAGCAACCATAAAAATAATGCCATAGCTCATGATACCAATCATAAAAAAATATAAAAAATAACATACAAAAATAACAATAAAAACAAAAACAGGACTACCCTTCAACATTCTGATGCCAGAAATAATCATAAAAACAAAGAAAAACAACGATGCTAACGATAACATCAACAATACTAAATACACTCAAGAGAGCGCCCCTCCTTCTCTCCTCCCCCTTCCTCCCTCCTTCTCTCCTCCCCCTTCCTCCCTCCGTCTCTCCTCCCCTTCCCGCCCTTATACACCTATTTACAATGCGTAAATATATTTATCTTGTTACATATTTCGATTCTTCTATTTCGTGACTGCTTTGTTTTTATTTATTTATTTGAATTTTCTTTTTTTCTGTATAATATTTCTTTTCGTTCCTTTTATCTTTATTTCCTTTCTTTATTTTTTTTCACAATTTTCTTCAATCTTCCATACCTTTTTCATTTATATATTTACTCTTACATTTCTTATCTTATTCATCTTTTCCTTCTTTTTATTCTTATTTCCTTTCGTTTCCTTTTTCACAATTTTCTTCAATCTTACCTTTTTTCATTTACCTATTTACTGCTTCATTTCCTATCTTTACTCATTTTTCACCCCTTTTTCCCTCCTAATAATGTTTCCTTTAGTTTCTCTCTTATTCTCTCTTTACATATTTTTATTCGATTTTCCTCTTGGGCGAAATAAAAATCACGTGGTTTCCTCTTCCTCATTTTATTACTTCATTCTCAAACGCATTTCATACACAATAAATAAGTAAATAAATACAGAACCAAAGACACCAGAAAGTGAAATAAACAAACAAACAAACAAATAAATAAAAGCAATTGACAAAGAAAAGGAGAAAAAATATAGACACGGGTGATTCCCCCTTTTTAAAAATAATCTAAGAAAGAATTACTGCAAAAAAAAAAAATAAAAAAAAAAGAAAGAAAAAATCATAATAGATACGAAAAAATCATTTCAGAGTTTACAAACGAAGAAGAAGAAGAAGAAGAAGAAGAAGAAGAAGAAGAAGAAGAAGAAGAAGAAGAAGAAGAAGAAGAAGAAGAAGAAGAAGAAGAAGAAGAAGAAGAAGAAGAAGAAGACACAATAATGATAACGCCAGGTGCCTACCGTCTTCAACACGAATCGAACTTGTTTTGAAGAGATCTTGACCTCGCTTTTACGTTTGTGTGTGCGGGTGTTTGTTTGTTTGTTTGTCTGTTTCTGTTTGTGTCTGTCTGCTTGCTCTACCATATGGGAGAGTGGGAGGGAGGAGGGAGGAGGGAGGGAAGGACGGAAGGAGAAGAGGAAGCAGGAAGGGTAGAAGAAGAAGAAGGAAGGGTGAAAGTGAGAGAGGAGTGAGAGAAACGAATGAGGTAGGAAGGGAGACGAGGAGGGAGGGTGAAAGAGAGAGAAGAGAGGAAGAGGAAGGAGTAACG